CCTCGATAGAATTCTTGGTGACTCGGATACTTTTGATATCGTTCGCCTTATGCGTTTTTGTTCTCGTATTGGCATCCTTGGTGATATTTAGCGCCCTCTGATTATTTTGCGTATTTGATGGTGCTACATAGCCTTCCCGGTTTGGTGCCTTCTTTTGATAATTACTTACTTTCATGTTTGTAAACTGTTTAATAAATGCAACCAAAGCCGTCAAAGATTGAGGAATGATGTACACGTTCGTAAGTACTTGCATAGCTGCTTCGTGAATCTGGGCCCAGGTACTGGGCTGCAGGAGTCTTGTGCGTACGATGTGTGGGCTGGGATGGTGGCGGGTGTACGATGTGTGGATTGGGAAGGTGGCGGGTGTACGATGTCTGGGCTGGGGAGGTGACGGGTGTACGATGTCTGGGCTGGGGAGGTGGCGGGTGTACGATGTTTGGGCTGGGGAGGTGGCGGGTGTAAGATTTGTGGGCTGGGGAGGTGGCGGGCGTACGATGTCTGGGCTGTGAAGGTGGCGGGTGTACGATATCTGGGCTGGGAAGGTGGCGGGTGTACGATATCTGGGCTGTGAAGGTGGCGGGTGTACGATATCTGGGCTGTGAAGGTGGCGGGTGTACGATATCTGGGCTGGGAAGGTGGCGGGTGTACGATATCTGGGCTGTGAAGGTGGCGGGTGTACGATATCTGGGCTGTGAAGGTGGCGGTTGTACGATATCTGGGCTGTGAAGGTGGCGGGTGTACGATATCTGGGCTGGGAAGGTGGCGGGTGTACGATATCTGGGCTGGGAAGGTGGCGGGTGTACGATATCTGGGCTGGGAAGGTGGCGGGTGTACGATATCTGGACTGGGAAAGTCCTGGGCATGCGCCAATAAGATCTAGCAGATGGCGGGATTTCGCTGGAGGAAGTAAGCTGACCCAATCGTACGACTTGTGAAGCGTGGAAGATGCCAGATGTAAAACGTGGCCTAACAGCTTGGTAGACCAAGTTTCAATATAAACTTGAAAGGTTTGTAACTGCCAGACATAAGAGGTATGGGCATGAGTACATGTAAACTTAAATCTGTGAGGTGCCAACAGTCGTTCTGTGAGGTGCCAACAGTCGTTCTGTGAGGTGCCAACAGTCGTTCTGTGAGAGGCCCAACTGTAGGTCTGTGAGGTGCCAACTGTAAGCCTGTGAGGTGCCAACACCGAGAGATGCCAAGCTATGAAGCATGGAGGTGAAAGGTTCAGATGCGGGAGATGTGGACATGAGGGAGGGTCCTCGTGGCTTAGTGGGCGGCCTGTGGGTGTGTCTGTGAGGGGTGGGCATGGCGCAGATCTGTAGGGATACCCACAATGTCGATCTCGTCCTCGTAGTCGGAATGGGAGACGTCACTGTCCCGGGCGGTCGTAGTGCATGGTGACACCGCTAGAGGGCAGAAGCGAAACTGTTTAAGTAACAAAAAATGCACCACACACACACACACACACACACACACACACACACACACACACACACACACACACACACACACACACACACACACACACTCACACACACTCCAGGGGGGCCTCGTAGCCTGGTGGATAGCGCGCTGGACTCATAATTCTGTGGCGCGGGTTCGATTCCCGCACGAGGCAGAAACAAATGGGCAAAGTTTCTTTCACCCTAAGTGCCCCTGTTACCTAGCAGTAAATAGGTACCTGGGAGTTAGTCAGCTGTCACGGGCTGCTTCCTGGGGGGTGTGTGTGTGTGTGTGGTGTGGGAAAAAAAAAAAAGTAGTTGGTAAGTTAGTAGTTAGTTAGTAAACAGTTGATTGACAGTTGAGAGGTGGGCCGAAAGAGCAAAGCTCAATCCCCGCAAAAACACAACTAGTAAACTAGTAAACACACACACACACACACACACACACACACACACACACACACACACACACACACACACACACACACACACACACACACACACACACAGAAGTGTAGTTCAGCCACCTAGTGTATATTGACTACTCTGAAAGACTGCTTGTTGTGTCTGACAGTTTTTTAGTAAAATTGTATAATAATTTTGTAATTCAGCAACAGATTCGTCAAGAGTTGAACATTTGTAATGCCGAGTGGCACTTATTTTTAATTCTAGAATAAGCGTATGTGAAATAAAATTCAAGTTAATACTTTATCTACACAATTTGATGTTTTTAAAGTAGACTATTTATAAGACAGTTAGTGGAGACGTGTTGAGTAGAGGCAAAAGTTGTCTTAAAATTAGCTTAAAGGTTCAAAGGGCGCTGTCACACAGAAATAACGTTAAACTAGATTAGAAATGACGTTAAACTAGATTAGGAATTACCTGTTCCTAAACTGGATTAGATTCCTGTTTGCAAACCAGGGTCTGTGGGAACATCCCTTAAGGACTTAAGCCCTATTGCCCTCGCGAGTTGTGTCTGCAAACTCTTTGAATGTATGGTTAACGTTCGTCTGATGTGGTTCTTAGAACACCATCACCACCTCTCCCCTTCTCAGTTTGGTTTCCGCAAGTGCCGCAGCACGACAGATGTCCTGGTGAACTTGGAGGTCTATACTCATACTGCTTTTGCTGCGAAGACCTCCGTTGTTGCCGTCCTTTTTGACCTGGAAAAGGCTTACGACACCACTTGGCGTTATCATATTCTATCTCAACTTCATTCTTTTGGCCTTCGTGGTAATCTCCTTCTCTTCTCCGCAGCTTCCTCTCTCGTCGTTCCTTTCGAGTGAGGTTTGGTACCACTCTCTGCCTCTTTTCAGCAATACGAAGGTGTGCCCCAGGGTAGTGTTCTGAGAACTACTCTTTTTCTGGTTGCCCTCAATGGTCTTCTTTCCTCTCTTCCTTCTGGCGTCTTTTCCGCTCTCTATGTCGCCGATCTTACCCTTTGTTGTCAGGGTGATGATTCGCCTCTCCTTCAATGCCGGCTTCAACTTGCCATCGATACCGTGTCGTCTTGGGGCACTGATCATGGCTTCAAGTTCCCTACATCTAAGACTTGTGCTATGACTTTTACTCGGAAGCGTGTCATTCTTTGTCACTTTATGGTCACCCCATTGTGTACAAGGATTCCGCTAAGCTTTTGGGGTTGATTTTTGACACTCGTTTGTCTTGGTCGCCCCATATCTCGTACCTCCGTGTTGAATGCTCTAAGGCCCTTACCTTTCTTCGGGTATTGTCCCATACTTCTTGGGATGCGGATAGGCGCACTCTACTCGCCTTACATTCCTCTCTCGTCCTGTCTAAGCTCGATTATGGTTGCCCTGCTTACTCATCTGCTTCTCCTTCTACTCTTCACCGTCTTGATGCTTTGCACCATACTGGGTTGCGCCTCAGTTCTGGTGCCTTTCGTTCGACTCCCGTCCTCAGCTTGCATGTTGACGCTGGGTTCCTGTCTCTCCAGGACCGTCGTGATCGCTACTGTCTTCGCTATCTTGCGCGGTCCTTGCAACATCCTTCCTCTCGCCTCTGTCGTGCTTTAACATTTACCCCTCCTGCGGTTCCTGTTCCTCTTCACCACCTCCCTCTTTCTGTCCGGTTATCTCGCTTACAGGATTCTCTTTCAGTTCATATTTCTAATATTTCTCCTCGTGTTGTTCCTTCTTTGCCCCCGTGGAGAGTCCCTCTTCCGCGGTTTTGTACATCCTTAACCCGCATCACTAAAGCTTTTACCCCTCCTACGGTTCTCAAACGCCTTTTCCTTGAGCACTTTTCTTCTCCCGCTCTGTTTCCGTCTTCACCGATGGGTCTAAGTCTACGGACAGTGTTGGCTTCTCTGTTGTTTTTCCTGATTGCACTTATATGTGTCGCTTACCTCCGGAGACTAGCATCTTCACAGCGGAACTTTATGCTATTCTCTATGCTCTTCGTCTCCTGCTTTCTCGTTGTCAATCTTCCTTTGTAGTTGTTGTTGACTCTCGTAGTGCTCTCATGGCTCTCGGGTCCTTTAATCTGGTTCATTCAGTGGTTGTCGAGATCCAGCATTGGCTGTTTCTTGTTCAAAGTAAATTTAAGTCGGTTGAGTTTTGTTGGGTTCCCAGCCATATTGGTGTGTCTTTAAATGAGCGTGCGGATGCTGCCGCCAGGGAAGCTGTCTGCTCTTGTCCCATCTCTCGTAAAGGTATTCCTTATTCCGACTTTTACCCGGTTATCCATTCCTCCATCCTTACCCGTTGGCAGGCTTATTGGTCGTCTGTTACTCGGCGATGGGAAACGGCTCTGGCGAGGTTGCGTATTGGCCATACTCGCTTAACTCATGGTCACTTGATGGAGCGCCGCCCTGGTCCTTATTGTCTTAATTGCACTGTTCCTCTTATGGTCGTGCATATCCTTGTTGAATGTTCTGACTTCCAGGACGAGCGTGTGTCTTGCTTTCCGACCGTCCCTCGCGGTCACTTGTCCCTCGATAGAATTCTTGGTGAATTGTATACTTTTGATATCGTTCGCCTTATGCGTTTCTGTTCTCGTATTGGCATTCTTGGTGATATTTAGCGCTCTCTGATTATTCTGCACATTTGATGGTGCTACATTGCCTTCCCGGTTTGGTGTCTTCTTTTTGATAATTACTTACTTTATGATAAAGTATGGGAAATAATTCTTTATTATAGAAAACGGGAAGAAAAACAATAGGAGAGGACAGAGAATACAGTGAGGAACATGAAAATTCTTAAGATAAAGAAAACCGCAAGATCGAGATGAAAAAAAATCAATAAAAATCAAAGATGTACAGGTTTCGCAAGTGGACACATGTATGATCGTCCGTCAGGACTTACCAACATCTAGCGGGGAGCCTGGAATGAGCTGTGGGACGCCTCCCTTCTGCTGCTGCTGTTGTTGTTGTTGTTGCTGCTGCGTTTCTCCGTCAGTGCTGCTGTTGCTGCTGCTGTTGCTGCTCGCTGGTGTCTTCTCGTCCGTGTGCTTGCGTAGCTGCTTCTTGTGTTTCATTCGTCGGTTCTGGAACCATGTTTTGACCTGGAACGACAAGGAAACGACCTTGTAGAAGCGTCCAGATAGGGAGATAAACGAATCAAGAGCATAGTTTAGTTCTATAAAGTTCTGAAACCAAGAGGAACCAAGCTGTTTAGACAGTACCTACTCCTGGACACCACATCTTTTACTGGAAGGGTAGAGATAACGGAAAGAAGTGGTTGTGGAAACCACCTCCATCCTCAACTTCTTCCATCCATAGTTCCCTTCCATTCCTGACAGTTTTCACTGTCTGGAGATTTATTTTGTAAATAAAATTCTAGGGGATGCTCAAATAGTTATCGAATTTCATATTTCACGTTTGAGAAAAATACACCATATTAATAAATTAATGAAACCTTAATCTAATATAACTTTAAACTAACCTAACCATGGATAGGGAGTTGATAATATCACTTATATAGTGGAGGCTTTGAAGTGATTACCTCCAGGCTACCTCCTCCCCCTGGGGACAGTTGATGTCTTGCCCAAGTGGCAAGTCCAGAGAACGACCACCCAGCTCTCCGTACGACCACCAGCTCTCCGTACGACCTCCGGCTCTCCGTACGACCACCAACTCTCCGTACGACCTCCGGCTCTCCTCACGACCACCAGCTCTCCGTACGACCACCAACTCTCCTCACGACCACCAACTCTCCTCACGACCACCAACTCTCCGCACGACCACCAACTCTCCGCACGACCACCAACTCTCCGCACGACCACCAACTCTCCGCACGACCACTGTACACAAGCCTCACACGCTTTTACCTTCCTTTTCCATCTACCCGAGAAGTGCCTGATTCGTCAGTTGAGTTATTCCTTCGTCATCACAGCTTCTGGTGGGATGGACCACCGTCCCACAGCCATCTTGTGGGATGGACCACCGTCCCACAGCCATCTTGTGGGGTGGACCACCGTCCCAGAACCATCTTGTGGGATGGACCACCGTCCCACAGCCATCTTGTGGGATGCAGTACCACAACAATGTGCACAAGAAACTAGCCGCCTCATTCGGCAACAATCATTCCAAGTTTTAACTCACATCTTTTATCTTAACAACCTAACCTAACCTAACCTAACCTAACCTAAATCATTCCCAAATCATCAGCTGAAATTTATTTCCTAGTACTAGAACACCCTCCCCACCCTCCAACCCCAACATGAACAGCCCCCCACAACTGGGGCCAGATTCACGAAAGCACTTACGCAAGCACTTACGAATCTGAACATCTTTCCTCAATTTTTGGCGGCTTTGTTTACAATTATTAAACAGTTAATGAGCTCCGAAGCACCAGGAGGCTGTTTATAACAATAACAACAGTTGATTGGGACGTTTTCATGCTTGTAAACTGTTTAATAAATGTAACCAAAGCCGTCAAAGATTGAGGAAAGATGTACACGTTCGTAACTGCTTGCGTAAGTGCTTTCGTGAATCTGGCCCTTGGAGTATAAAGTGTTGAACTAACCTGAGTCTCTGACAGATTGAGGGAGGTGGCCAGTTCGACCCGCTCTGGCGTGGAGAGGTACCGCTGGCCAGCGAACCGCTTCTCCAGGCCCCCGAGCTGATGGTCGCTGAACACCGTTCGCGCCTTCCTTCGTCTGCACGCCTTCAGCGCCCCCTCGCTGCCTCCGAACAGGCTTCCGAACCCTAGACCTGGGCCACAACACAGGTACGAACGAGCTTAAGTTGTTGTTGTTATAGATTGAGCTACTGGGAACAGTAAGTTCCAAGTAGCACGGGCTATGGTGAGCCCGTAGTGAACTTACCTGGCACAGGAGCGGTGCTGTAATTCTACGCTGCTGCTCAGCTTAAGTCAAATTGTTTATCTTATCAACAGTGTGTTTCAAGCGTAGGTTAGGCACGCTTATGACTGAATTTGGGTGGGTTAGACATGTATATGAATGAATTTGAGTAAATATGGCAGGTACCTCACATAGGCCAATAGGCCTGTCACCTCTGTTCCAAGGTGACAAGCAGCTAGGCCTACTGAACCATAGTCATCTAGTAAACTTGAGGCCAAAGGTGCTATCATATAGCACTGTTATCATATCTAACCTTCAACAAAGGTTAAATGAAACAAACAAGGACACATAGATGGAATAAATTGCGATACAAGCAAATGCATTAAAGTGATGATACTTTTAGTTAATTCAAAACCCTAAAGTTAATACATACTAGTGAAACAAAAACGCAATGATGATATAAAGCATTGTATGATTTATTATGATAATAAGTCATGATGAATTATGATACAATAAAAATCACGGGCTCACCATAGCCCGTGCTACTGGAACTTATTGTTCTGAGTAGCTCAATCTAAAACAACAAGATAAAATAGTCGTAAAATTGTCTAAAAATTATGAGTGGCAGTGTTGCCAATGTGCAACACTTCCTCTTGTACTAATCTTACTTATGGCAGCTATTTGGCCGAACGTACAAAAATGGACTGTTGGACCACAAAAGGTTGACGTTCTCAGTTACTGAATGATCCCAAATGTCAGATTAGAAACAAATATGGAAATGTAAGTAAAC